TTTGATGTAGAAATCAGAAAGGACTAATTTAGGTCAAATTAATGTAAAAATCGAAATAGTCGAATTTTATTAAAATTTGGACTTCGAATTTTTGACTAAATTTAGGTCGAATTAATGTAAAAATCAGAATGGTCGAATTTTGTTAAAATTCAGGTGCCAAATTTTTGGTTAAGTTAGGTCAAATTAATGTAGAATTTGGTGTGACCGAATTTTTATTGGTCGAATTTTAAAAAATTAGCTAATTTTTTGCCAAATGTTATTATAATTCGACCTGGTCAAATTTCTAGTTTTCGACTAGTGAACCTAATACTAAAAAAAAGCAAAAGAACAGCTATTTCTTATGTGCTAAAAAAAGAAATCTGTTTGTTTAAACAAAGAAATTTAAATAAAACACAAAATAAGCTTAAAGATAAGTTTAATTCCAAATATTAATTAAATTTAGATAGGATAACAATATCAAAGATCTTATCTGATAAAGAAAAATAAAAGAATTTTATAGTTAATGAAACTATTAATAATATTTTTCATAAGAGTAGAGTTAAGTATCCAGATTTAGAAAAACTTTTTAATATTTGGGTTAATCAAGTGATAGCATCTGATTTATCAATTTCAAAAAATTTATTATATGAAAAAGCTTGTTATTATGCAATGGTTATGAATATTTCTGTTAAAGATATGAAGTTTTCTAATGGATGGTTAAGTGGATTTAAGCAAAGAAATAATTTAAAGATGCATAAAATTTATGAAAAAGCCAATACTGCACTAATTGAATTATTACTGAATATGTAAAATGAATTAAGTACTCTAATTCCAAGGTACAGACCCAAAAATGTATTCAATACTAATAAGACAGGTTTATTTTATAGAATGGAATTCAATCAAACTTTATTATCTGGCTCCATATCTGAAAAAAAAAAATAATATAAGTGCTTCAAAAAAAAACTAGGAAGTAAATATATAAGTTATTACTATAGTAGAAGCTACAATAATAACTTAAATATTTACTTTTTAGTTTTTTCTATATAGCACTTATATTTAATCTAATAAATAACTATTGATATATTTTATTAATTTTTAAGATAAAAGTCAACTAACAATAATGTTAACAACAAATTCTACTAGTAGTAAAAAACTTAAACCTTTTATTATTAGTAAATCTAATAAACCACATTGCTTTAAAAAGGTTAAAGATTATTTTGCATTATCTGTAACTTATAAAAATAATGCATATGCATGAATAAAACAAGACATTTCTGAAGAATGGTTAAAGGATCTAGACTATAAGTTTTAATTTAAAGACAGAAGAGTCCTATTACTAATCAATAATGCAGCTTCTTATAGTATAGTGAACAGTAATAATAAAGAAAGAAGTCAAACTGGTAACTGTATAAGTTATTTAATCTAATTTTTTTTTTTAAAAAAAAAATTTATTTAGTAAAAAACAATTTTAATGAGAACTTTTTAATTATAACTATGAAATTACAAAAAGAATATTGTAACAGACAATAAAGATTCTAATCATGAACATGGGCATGAACATGGTTGTAGTCATGATCATAAACATGGTTGTAGTCATGGTTGTGGTCATAGATGCATTCATAGTTGTAGTCCTGAACCTAGTAATCATAGTAAACCTAGTAAACCTAGTAAATATAAATATAGTGATAATAAAATAAAAAGTATAGATATATATACTTGTAGGTTCTCTATATAAACACTCTAGTTTTTGTATTTATTCATTTACTTCTGTTTACCAATAACTCTAACCAATGTTAGTAAAAATATAACATAACTACTAAGTCTTTAAAACAATTTATTTATATAAGAAACCTTTAACCTTGTATTAAATCTTTTAGAATTTTATGTATTCTATTCTTATAGCTAATTAGTATTACTATGGTTAAGACTAATATTTGTAGTCAGAATGTATTATTAAACTGCCATGTTTTTGTAAAATTCACCCCAACTTTGGTACTAATTTCACAATATATTTTTACTACTTTAGTATTTAATTTAAGTTTTGTTAAGCTTTTAGATCTGATAGACTAGAAAAATAAATTATAAATATACCTTTAGTTTATACATTCTTTGGCTTATAAACTTTTTCTTTAAAATGAATTTTGGCAGCCTGGCTGGTTCTATTTAGCTTCTTTTTGAAAACTGGCTTTTTGACTAGCTTAACAAGTTCTAGTTTTGTTTTATAGATCTAGTCTTTATAATAATACTATTAAAAGTTTAGATTATCTCTTTATTTAGATCTTCTAAATAGGCTTCCATCTTTCTATTTAGTTCTTATAATTTATATGACCTAAGAACTTATTATAAGTTCACACTGCCTAATACCAGTTTGTGTTTTTTTATATAAGGTTATATAAATGTTTAGACTTTCTAGATATATTAATATAATACAAATAACAGATATCTAATCTCAACTAATTACAGAAAACAATTAATCACAATACAAAAAAAATTGCAAAATTTTATTATTACTAGAATTTGAACTCTAGACCTATTACTTAGAAGTTGACAATCTGTTTATTTCACTAGGTCATTATATTCCCTTTGTATGTTTTTTATTAGTAATATATAATTATATTTTTTATATACAAAATCTATCAATAAAAATACAACTAATTATATATATAACTTTAGTCATTATCTAATTAAGAGTTCTGCCTATAGGTTACCTACTAGATGCTATACCTGAGACCTACCTGTAGGTTTCCTATTTAAATTTTTTAATTTTTAATATTTGTTTGTATATATATATAATATTATTATAATAGTAATATATTAGGTTAAAACTATCTAATTATTATTTATATCAAAGTATTACTTTATTAGATGCTACTAAGTATCCATAGTCCTTTGAATTTATTCTTAATATAAACTTACTAAGTATGGTACCAAGATTACTTTTTAGATTTATTTTATTTTAGTATATTCTGTATTTACTAAAACTGATTTGATGCTAGAAATGTTTGAATTTTAGTAAGTTTATTTCTTTTCTATATCTTCTTTTTATATTTACTGTATTATCTATTATTGCACCTTCTCTTCATTTCTGATATATTCATTGCTTCTCTTATATAAAACACCATTTTCCATATTAGAAATTTCTTTCTGAGAACTTTCTTATATGCTGATCTTTTATTTATATTAACTTTAACCACAGAGCTTCACATATATTCATATGCTTCTGTAAATTACAAAGTTTTTGCCTCCAGCTGGAATTGAACTGTTGACTTTGTCTATGAAGGGCAAGGCATCTAGACCACTAGGCTACAAGACCCTAACCTTAATTTTTTTATTATATGTTATATAAATGTTAACATTAGCTATAACATTTAATTTAATTTGAATAGGTACAAGTTTTTTAATAATAAAAAGACCTGGGTTTAATGGTTCGTTCCTTTAGTATGTTTGGGATTGTTAATTGTAAAAATTTTGATTATATTATATATTGTAGATTCTTCAATGATATTAGGTTTATTAGTAATAAAGATTATATTTATCTTGCTCTACGCGTATCTGTCTATTCTCTAAACATATGTGATAAATTCTTTCATGTGAATTTAATAGTTTGTAAACTTTGCATTTTATTATTTTCGATATTGAATAATAAAATTGTTACAAATTATGCGGGTAGATTTATAAAAAATTAACCAAACAACCTTCTGCCTTTGTTGTTTAACTAATCACTCCTCCTCCCAAATATGGAAATAACTTCCGATATAGTTACACACAAATATCAACCGATTATATTGTAACTTTTGCAAATCACTTGTACACCGGCCAATCAGATTGCAAAAAAAAAGGTGAGGAAATAACAGGGATTAAATGAATATATTATAAAGTGAAGTAAAAGCATCAATACATCCGTTATATTTACTCACGTTTTATCGATGGTAAGCTACCCGGGCTTTTTAAAAAAAAGTATTGTAAAACGTATAAAAAAATTGTTTATCAATCGTGTAACCATCGAGTGACTCAGGTAAATATTTCTATATTTGGGACATTCTCTCTTGGAAATCACTCCTAAAACAGTTACCATCACAAATATTTGTTTATATGCTGTTTTCTACACGTCGTGATTGTTGAAATTTTTGTGTAGTATACAAATAGTTTCGTCAAGAGGAGTTTTCCTTCGCCAAGAGGTGTTTTTCCTTCGCCAGGGGTTTTTTTTTGTCAAAGACTTTCGTTTTTTTCCGTGGATCTTTCTTTTTGACAAGTGGTTTCTTTCGTCAAGGAGCTTCATTTTTCGCCAGAAGTTTTCTTTTCGGTCTGACTGGCACCACGCTTATTAACTCTCTGCTAGGTAACATCATACTTTTTCTGGGGATTTGTTCTTGCCAAGACTTTGTTTTCTGTTAGTCTCATTTTTGTCACAGGTTTGTCTTTCTTTTATGAGTTTTTAACTTTCATCTTTCAAGGAGTTAGACTTCGCTTTTTATCATTTTACGAAAAAGCTTCGTATGTTCTATTAGTGTTACCATCTCTGCAGATTTTTATATAAGAAACGAATGAATTCGTTTACCCTTTTCAACATACATATGAGTGTTTTCAACGAACATTTCGATACTGCTAATTTTTTCACTAAAATTTTGACAACTATGAAAATTAACTTCACGAATATGAAAAATTAATTTTGACAAACTAAATGCCGAAATAATTTTTTTATTAAGAGGAGTAATTTAGACACCCATGTATATTTCAACAACAGCTCCACCCTAGCAATTGTATCTAACCTGGAGTGTTCTATCAGTGTTACTTATTTTACAGACTTTGATAAGAAATGAATTCCCAATTCTATAACAATATCTAATGTTCATCCTCTTCAACACCAATTCAATTCCGATAAAAAATACTCATAAGTTAATTGAAGCAATTAACGTGAATTGATATCTTGAAATATCATAAGTTGGCAAGCATATACATTCTTGGTTTAACTTACTGATTTTAATTTCACTGATATTTATACATTATTTCAGCAATAGCATCCAACTTAGAGTGTTTAATTTTTTTTTGCAGATTTTTTGATAGAAATGAATTTCTTGTGTTTATCTTTTCAACATCAATTCTATAAAAATATCTAGCATTCATTCTTTTCAATGCCAATTATTTTTTTGATAATAGTATCCAACCCGGAATTTTTCTATTACAGTAGTTCAACCTTTCGGCTCATAATTTATCTTACTGAGCAAAATATCACATTTGGCATCACCAATTCCTGTGGATTCATCAAATTGGAAGATCGTCAACAATAAACACTAGACTGAAGCATAAGTACATAATTTTTTTGATTTTGTCTTTTTTTTTACTATCACTAATTTTTTATTAATTCTTTATTTAGGCCGTACAGTCACTCTTCTTTTTGAGTTTTTGTGGGTAAGATTTTAAAGAATGTAGAATTTTTGCTCAGAAGAGTTTTCTTATTAATGATTGTTATGTGTAGAGCACACACACTACTACAAATGAAAAATAAATTTCAAATTATAAGAAAATTACAAGGAAAATAAAAAGGATTCCTTATTTTAGACCCTTTTCTACTTTTTTTTGACTAAATATTTACCTCCCTTACGTTCATAGCCTTTTTGTTCTGTAATATTTTCGAAAAATAAGCCAAGATCGAAGGTAAATGTCCATGCCATTTCGTTATTTTAGTTTTCTTTTCGTTGACACAAGCGTGAACGTCCACCACGGCCAAACACTTTACCTGTCAAGGTAATATTGTCATGCTTGAAGTTAGCATGCGCTTGAAATTGTAACTTCAAGCACCTGAAGTTGGAACTGGCTAAAATTATTAACTAACGCGGGCAAGGAAGATATAATTTTCAGCGGTTAATTTTAGTTAGTGTGCCTAAATTGGTAACTTCAAACAGATGTCAACTTCAAGCACGACAATATTACTTTGACAGATGTCAATCCAAATTGGTCAAGGATCTGGCTTTACAAGATCGACGTTGTTATTTCAATGGGGACTCGGCTTCGTTTGTTGCGGGCGATTGAAGTTTAATTGTTGGTTGGGTCCCGGGAAGTCGTCATACGTTGATTCTTTCGATCATTGTGCATACTTCTGACATCAGTAAAACGACGAGTCAATCGCTCCAAAATCTGGGACATCGTGTAACCTACGAATGGGCTTAGATGAAAGAGGCGGTTAAATTTGGGCGAGTTGGAATTATGATCGTGGGTATGTCTTCTACTATATTGGGGAACTTAATAACATACTAAAGCTTATATTTTCTATCCACTATCAATGTAAAAAACCACGACTTGGACCCTTCACTTGGACTTCAAACCGGACCAAAACAATAACCATAACTATTCACGGTACGTTTGGAGGGATGGAAAACAATAACTATACGGTCCTCACTACGTCGAGAATCAACCGGACAAAATATCGGTATACTTACGATTATCACGTGAACAAGAGAACAATAACGAAGATCGTACAGATCGGGATGTAAGAATTAAATTATAATACAGAAAAAGTATGTAATTATTAGGAGACGAAATTTAAAAGGTAACTATAAAAAATGTCATTAATTCGAGCATTCATTATTTAAATTTGTAATTATACAAACTAGTGTTGGCAGGCGAAACCTAAGAGTTTCGCCACAGACGAAAGGCGAAACTAGTTTCGATTTTCGGCAAAAAAAAAATCAAAATGGCGAAACTGGCGAAAGGTGGCGAAATTGCGAAACTAGCGAAACTGCTAATAGGTGGCAAAATTGGAAAAAGGTAGTAAAACTAGCAAGAATAGAAAGGTAATTAAAGAAAATTAAGTTTTTTTATATAATCATCAATATTTTTATTTATATATATAGCATAGCGCGATACTCTTATTTATCACGCATAAATTAAATTTGATTGACTAATTTTGTCGATCATCATTACATGAATTTAATAAAAAAATAAATAAAATTTCAAATTTTTTACTAATAAAATTATAAAAATAGACGGCTCAGTCTTTTCAGAGGTCTTAGAGGATTTGATCTTCGTCAAGCTTTGACTTTCCCTAGGGGTTCAACTTTAGCAGGAGTTTCGCCAGAGTTTCGACGTTTCGCCAGAGTTTCGCCAGTTTTCGTCTTTCGCCGGGTTTAGTTTCGCCTTTCGCCATTTGTCAAAAATAGTTTCGCCTGCCAACACTAATACAAACTATTTATAACTGCGTAACATTATAGGTCCTAATATTCGAAAACCAAGAATATCTGAAAAGACAGGTAGTTAATTATCTTTCTAATAGTGGTTTAATTCTTTAGGTACCTTTGTGAGATCACTTGCGTTGCAACATATGACAGGTGATTTTCTCTGGATCTACTATCTGGAAGGTTGCTTGATCTATCGACCACAAAGTAATATACTTTGTGAGATCGCCTAATCGATATCGAAGGTGGTTTTCTCTGGATCAACAACTTTCAATTATTAAGCAGATGGCATGATCTATCGACCACAATAAGCAATTAAAAATTGCTTTTGTGAGATCACCTAAGTCATGTAACGAAAGTGATTTTCTCTGGATCAACCATCTAGAAGGTGGCTCGGTCTATCGACCACAAAGGAATTTTCTTTGTGAGATCACCTAATCGATATCGAAGTTGATTTTCTCTGGACCGACTGCCTTCAACTATTAATAGATGGTTTGATCTATCGACCACAAAAGTATCCTAAAGAAACTTTTTTAATCCATTAATCTACGTAATAAACAATATTATTAATTAATATAAATTTTTATTATAGTATACATAGAGAGAAAATTACTACCTTATTCGAAAAGATAGTGAAATAGAACATCTGTGACAAATATTTCGGGCATCTGTAAGTATATCAAACACCAAAAATTTATGTAATTTAAACCAAAAAAATTTGGACTAACAAAATAATAACGATAAACAATAAATTAATCATTTTATTTATTTCAATAAGCGTAATATTTATTAAAGCAAGAAAGTATTATTATTACGGTTTTTCTAGTTATTTGAAATATTCACTGGCTCAAAAGTTTTTATTAATACTATTGAGCTATTTGTTACTATTTGGATTCATTATATTTTCTTCAATGATTTTCTGTTGCGTCCTGGATTCGGAGTTATTAAACTTTTTGCTCAGAGTTATAATCTTCTGGAAGAGTCTTCAAAATAAAATCTACAAGGATTTCTGGTGCATTTTCTTAATTAGGTTTAATAATTTATTTCGACTTTTATTCTTTTTTCGTTGATTATTAGTGGAAATTGGTTACAGTAATCAATGTATATTTTTAGAATAGTGTGATTATTGGATTTAATGCTTTCAACAATCACTTTTAATTTTGAAGAATCAAAGAAGAAAAAAATCACATAATCAATTATTATAAATATTATGTTTTTCGAAACTTTTAGGGTGGCGATTTTACCCGGTCGCCAATTGCAGTGATTGAAAAAATTTTGGCCCACATTATATATAATTTTGGCCGGAGTTAATTTTTTAATTTTTATCTTCAAAATGGAAATTTTAGGTTTTGAATCTGTTCAATGGTAAAATTAGTCCGTGATTATTTTTTAATTAATGGGTAGCCGCGATCTCATTAGTAAAATCCGAGCAATCTTGTCCTAAATTTTATTACACATAGCTACCACAACAAATACCGCACAGCGTGGACTAAAAGACCCCCTTTTATAATACCCTCACGATTTTCGGAGGCTTAGAGTGTAAAGTACCCCGGGTACTAAGGATGGATTAATTGCACTTGGGAATGTAAAATACCCGGGTACTGAATTACACTTAGACTATGAAATATTACTGCGACACTAATATAGTACAACTTATCCCCTACTCTGACCATATTATCGCTCCGACTATAGTATCCAAAGTACCCTGAGTATTTTAGCCCACATTGTACAATAATTGATTGTTCCCATTATCCAATCAGAATCGTGAATTTTCCGCAAATTATTTCCATATTAGACATGATCGATTCTGTGATATGACGTAACTGACTGTTAATCACGCCATCTTTTTTCAAAAGTAAATTTGAAAAAACGAAGTTGAACGAAGCGAGGCATCAAAAACTAAAAGATATATATATATTTATAATATTATGACGTAAAAAGTACTTTGTGTGGGTTTGGAAAAGAGGCCGAACGAAACGAAGCCAAAAAATACAAAATTAAAAGTTGTTGACATAGACCAACATCAGAAACTTATCAATTCGTTCATCGGCAATTTTTCTATTGTCCTAGGATTTATGAAAATAATCTGTAACGTTATGTAAAAAAAAAATATATATATATATAGAATCGAGTTTGAAAGGAGGTTAAGATAAATAATATCAACATAAAATTGATGAAAATCCAAAACTGAATAATTTTATTTATATACTTTTATAATTCGTTCAAAACATGTTGGGTTCTATTGTATTCAAAAAGAATAAATTTAAATCAAAAAATTTCTTAAACCATTACATTGTCAATATTGCAATAACCGGTATTACATCGCTTGATATATCTAATTGTTCAGCGAAGCCGCCCGCATTTGCAATCTATAGTTTAAATATTAAAAATTTTATTTATCTAGATATTTGCTAATCCTGAGACGAAGTGTCGTGATTGGTACCTAAAATATTCATGTCTCTAGCCTGAGACGAAAGATCGAACGACATTAAAATCATCTGATTAATACTTATTGCGTCATAATACACCTTATATATTTTTTGGTCGATCAATTTTCTGTGCGTATGTATACCAACGGACACTATAAAAAGGTGGCCATCTTTGACCATAATCATTAAGCTTACTGAAACATGGCATTAATCGAACGGTCCACATTACAAGAAATTAAACAAGTCATATCCACCCACTTAAGTGATCATTATTCATTTCCAGCTTCAGAGCTAGTAAGAGAAAATCCACCGATATGGTATTGCGAAAATAAACAAATAGTTTATAATATGGCATGTCCCAATGGTGCGGACTCATTTCACGGAACTTTGGAGTATACACAATGGACACAATTTGACTTACCAAAAAGTTTTGATGTTGAAAGAAGAGATATAATTGGAGGAGGAAGGAAAGGTGAATTAGAGATTGAAGTATTAAATGATATATTTGATTATTCCCCACCTGATGATGACAATACGGTGATTTGGTATATTAATTTTGCAGACTTGTATGTTCAATTTTATATAGATATTTACGAAATGATCTAATTAAATAGTTTTTAAATTTCGTTACAGTAATTTCGAAATTTAAAAACTTATTAGACCTTTTTACAAACGTTTAATTATAAAAAAATAACATAAATTTGGATTTTAGAAATCTGTTTGGATATTATAGTGGACCTCTTTTCGCACAAGATGAAATGCAGTGTCTTGAGCATCCAGCTCTATGCTCGCTTCGTGACAAGCTTTATACAATACATGATGGGTCACAAGCAAAAACTAGAATGATTACATCTGAAAAATCAATTGCGACACCTGTATTAATTCGTGGTGTAGAACGTCGTGCCTTCGTCAAAACTGACTGTAATGAAACTGAAGGTAGACCTTCTGGTCTTTATGGAAATCATTTTGCAAGAGCTGAAGAAAAAGTTATAAAATTGGCAACCACAGTTTTTGATAAAAGATTGAATATTAAAGGTAAACCTTATTATTCCAATATTATTGCCATAGAGGCACCAAAATATGGAGAAGGGTGTTATACAAATAGCACTATTAGAATGATTATTGAAACGGCCTATAGCGGGTTTCTGGCAGCTAGATTTGAAAGTTTGGTAGAAACCGGAGTGCTGGAGAGAAGACATAAAAATGAAGATCATACGGTTATTCCCGAAAAAGAAGATGCAGTCGTACCTAGAATTATTATTCATACAGGAAATTGGGGATGTGGTGCTCATGGTGGAAATATTTCACTTATGGCATGTTTGCAATTCGTAGCTGCACATTTGGCTGGTATCGATAAAATAGTTTATCATACCATAGATGATCGATCTCTAAATGAAGTTGATCTTGGATTAGAAACTTTTAGAGAGTTGGTAATGGATGTAGATGGGGTGGTTAAAGTTGATGATTTTATTTCTAAACTTGAAAGAAAAAAATTTCATTGGGGTTTTAGCAATGGTACTTAGTATGTAACTTTTTATTTTAATTTTTTTTAATACCCATTTGTAAATTCTAAAATTCAGTGTTCGGTTTGTTATCTGTTACGTAATGTTCATATTATGAAATTACCGTATAAATATTAAAGATTTTTAAAAAGTATTATTTTTTATCAATTTATACAAAAAATTAAATTACTGACTCTATGCAGTTATTAAAAATAGATCATTATACGAAAAGTTTTATTCAATATGCGTTTTTAATGGTGTACAATACTATGAAACAACTAAAATCACAGAATAGAACCCCAAATAGTCATTAAAATCTGCCTTTTTCCTATCATCAAGAATTAAATGAACAATTGAGACTTTGTAATTTAAAGTCATCCTGAACTTGATATGCAATGCTCATAGTGCGCTGACTAAAAGACCCGAATGTATTATGTAACTATGAGACAATGTTTTAGGAAAGATGGGTTTTCATGTATATGTTGTAGGTTGGTTCGGAATTCAATTTCGGATCTCGAAAATATCAATCATAAATTATACGAATTTAAAGAATTGTACTGTATTTTGAAAGTTTCAAGCCAAAATGTTAACCCAAGAATATTTTTTTAAGACAGGTTTTAATAAGTTAGCATAAGTTTTTTTTTTAAAAAAAACACTTGCTAGACGTAAACCATTCATTTCACACCCAATTACGAACTTATTATTGCAGTACCACATGTGCCTACTAATATAATATAGAACTCTAAAAGGTTGATATTGGATAAAATTCTTTCAGCTACGGGAATTGAGAATTCTATTCAATTGTGTTGAAATTTTGAGAATAGATTATAACGGCATTGACCGGCCTACTCTATCTTGTAAATAATCAAGAAATTGTAGAACGAAACATATCACTTATATTGTAAAATACTTTATAATGCTTATAAGGTAAGTATAATTATACCACCGGGATCAACATAATGTGAAAAGCTCAAAAGTCGATTAAGACAAATTATTGGTTTACGAAAAGCCACAATAATGTAGCCTGTTTCTACCAGAGACAGTGGATTTTAGTTGAAGCAAAATAGCACTAGCGATATCACGGCGACCACATACCCGATTTGGTTATGTGATTGCCGTGATACTACTAAAATCTACAATAACCGACACAAATGTGATTGTAAGACGAATAAAAAAATAATTCTTGTATACGTAGATGTTCTAATATAACAGTTGTCATCCTAATATTAAATGTAAGAAGTGAACATCTTCAATTATAATATAATGTGTTAACTATAAACTATATTGTCGAAATTTATATAGCTTACAATTTTTAAAATTCTATTTTCACTTAAGTTATTTTGAAATTCGAAATTCACTTAAGTTGATTCAGAATCCATGGGATTCCGAATCAACCTACAACATATACACTCCTCATTTTAATAGGCAGTACAGAATTTATAAAACTTCATATTTGATTAATCGAACTTAATGTTTACGTCAGGTTTTTATACAGAGGACTTTGAAAAGGAAGTATTTTAGTCAGTGCACTATATAGATGCAGACATTATTATTATTATTAAGGCCGTTATTTGTGGCAGCTATCGCCTTTATTGTGTTTTTAGTTAATGCATTACATATGATTTGTACATGGTGAGTGTGCAACTAGCACACGTGCACAGATTCGCCGAAATCCGAACTACAATATATACAAAACTTTAAAAAATTAGAGATAATTTATACATCGCCTAGGCGATGTTGCATCTGATGCAGTTTATTAATATTAGGTGTAACATGAAAACGAGTTCCTTTATATGCGTACGACCGGTAAAATCACCACCCTAAAAAGTTTCGCACGTCTTGAAGCTCTAATTTCCCTGCCCACTTCTGATTGGCGTAGTGAATATTGCCTCTGATTGGGCGAAGTAATTACGTAGTCCTTTGTACCGTCAAAAAAAAAAAATAAAGATAGAAAAATAAATTAAAAATAATGAAGGGTTAAAAATAATAAAATAAATAAATAACAGAAAAGGAAAAAATAAAAATAACAACTAAAAATAAAATAAAAAAATTGACATTATTTTAGCGCATTGTCGGAGGTAAAACCGACACCTCATAGAACCTGCAAAATGGACGTCATTGAGGCATACTTACCTAATTAGAGTTGCCCATGACGATCCATCTGAAACATGTGCGCCCGACCCCAAAAAGATGCCATATGAAAGTACACAAGCCTCCATGCGGGACCCAACCACCCCTCCAATTAAAGTAAGGTCGACTTGGACCAACCTGTTGCGCTGGGAGTGGACGTTGACTTCACCTGCCATACTTGGGTTAGGTGTGAGGCGATGTCAAGAGGGGTGCGATTGAAGACAATACGATGGGTTCTGGCCCCAGGATCGAGAAACTGAAACATTTCTCATCGGTACTATGAAAGCCGTGAGAAATGTTAAAGTAACGAAAGGCTGTGTGGAAGGGGT